GGCTTTAGGCAGACATTTCCAAATACAGAAGGTTCAAGACATAGAAGAGATGGCTGGGGAGATGCTGACTTTAGTGGGTCAGAACCTATCCAAATGAACCCAGATCCAGAGGGCCAAGGACCTGATAGAATAGGTAGAAACTTGAGGGGTTCAAGGCGTATGAGGGGAAACAGAGGCCCAGGGCCAGATAGGCGCAGTCTAAATCGGGGAGACAGATGGAAAGGGCCAGACTTCAGGGGCTCTGGACCTGATAGAAGAGGCACAGACACACAGGAGCAGTGGTCAGATGGAAGAGGTCCTGATATCGAGTCTGTAGGAAATGGAAGAGAATGTTCAGATGGTGACTGGAAAAGACATGGCAGCAGGGGTCCAGGGCCCATCCGAGAAGATCCAGGTGACCAGGTTCAAGAACACAGTAGACATGGTCATCATAGGGAATGGAGAGGCCCTGAAAGTAGGGGACCAAGGGCCATACAGGAAAGATCAGATATGCAATTACCAGGGCATTTGAGAGGTCCAGGAGATGAGTGGAGTGGACCTGGTTTCAGGGGTCGGGGGCCTGTCCAGGATGACCCAGATATGGTATGCCCTGGCCCCATAAGGGAAAGACCTGGAAATGAATGGAGAGATTCTGATAGACCATTTTTCAGTGGGGAAAATGATCCAGGCAACAGGAGACACGGCCATGATAGAAGAGGTCCAGGAATGAGAGAACCAGGATCAGATATGAGAAGGGGTCCAGATATGGGGAATGACCGGAGGCAGGCTGATTTTAGAGGTAATATAAGAGGGCCAAACATGGAAGGACCAGGGGCTCATAGAGAAGCTCCAGACTTGATGAATTCATATACAAACAGGAGAGGATTTGAGATAGAAGGTCCTGATAGAAGAGGCCCAAGAGGTCCAGATTTAAGACGATCAGGGCCTGAACACAGAAATAATGAGGGCCCTGGGTTTGATAGAAGAGGTCCAGGCATGATTGGTTCAGGGTTAGACTCAAGGGGGTCTGAGCCAGCACTGAATGATGACATGCAAGGGTTAGATCTGAGGAGCCCAAGGTGTGATAGCAGAGGGTCAGACATGACAGCATCATCCCATTTCAATAGCCCTCATGAAGTTACCAGATTCCAGGGCCCGCGTGATCCACATTCTGCACCACACAATAGACCCCCAGGTCCAGCTCGTAACAGCAGAGAAAACTCATGCCCCCCTTTTGACAATAAACAAAATCAGCAAGCTGTAAAGCCCCAGAGACACAGAGCTGGCTTACTTCCCACTCCAACAGAAGGTCTCATACGCTTCCCAAATCGTATAATGAACAATCCTGACGTCTTCAGTCCGAAACGAAAACAAATAGGTCACCCAACAGACAGGGAGTGGAGTAGAGATAGACCAGTGAGTCGGGAAAGAGAACTGGTCAAAGAGCAAAGACAGGAGCAGGAAAAAAGTCCTGCTAGTAAAATTAGCAACCCTGTAGATGCAAGCACAAAGACTGGAAAAGGAAAAAAGGAAGTGGACAATAAAACTGATAAACAGGGTGCATGTGTAGAAACTAAAACCACTCAAAGCATGGAACAGTGATGGAAATAAAAGCAATATCAAGCGAAGTTTGACACGGGATAAAAAACATGACGTGTGCACCCTTCAGAACAGTAAGGCTGTTAGATTATAAAGGCTTAGTATCACAGAGATACTATAGCATAACACACATTGAATGTATTTTTCTTAAGGAGAGTGGTTGTCCATGTCTTACTGAGATTTCAACAAGACCTACAGGCAAAGCCAGTGTGAAAGATCAGACATTGTAGCTTGATATGGAAATGCTCAGAGGTATATTACATTCTAGTTTGTCTTGTATTCAAAGTAGATACGTTTATTTTTGTTATATGCCTAAATGCCTCTTAAATCTAATCCATCACTTGTAAATTTAACTTGATGTGCAATTTTAGTTGGAAATAGTCAGAAATGTTTTGTACAGAAAAGGTTCAGTTTTTTGTTTCTTTGTTTTTTAACATAGCCATAGTGTAAGTACAGTAGCCTTGGTCTGGCTGTTATGTTCTTCTGCTGATAAAAAAGGCTTGTTTCATTGACCTTTTAGAATCCAAGAAGTCAATAAAATGACATACACTTTTTTTTTTTTTACATTTGTATTCAGTCTGATTTTGTCATCATTATTTGGAATTGATTGAATGCTTAGTGAGTGGTGATCTGTTTCTTTAAAAAGCGAATTCCCTGTTATAGCACAGAGCCAGGGCTGTTCTGTTTGTGGTAATATATTATGGCTTATCTTTTTAAAGATACAATTAAAAAGTCATCATCTGTAGAGGTTGATGACATATTTTCCATTTTGCCAGAGAGACTGGTCTCTTCAGAAGCAACATCTAATAAAGGTTTAACAGTACAACTTGATTGTATCACTGCTTGGTGCAAGGAGAGAATATAGTTATACATGTGATTAATATGCCCAGTGATTGAAGATTATTGCAGATCTTCAAAGTAGAATTATCACCATGTACGGATACTGTATTAATAAGTCAATTAAAAACATTACTAAAGTAATAGTACAGTAAGGAAAACACTTACAAGCACAATGAACTTAAAGTCTCAAAAGTCAGCATGCAGAGAAAAAGTCCATGCCAGTGTTACTGTTGGATTGTTAACACTAAAGTATTCATGTGCACATATAATTTTATTGTTATGGTTGGTCAAGTTGGAGCTAATTTTTACCATATTTGGTAGGTTTGTATTTGGTAGGTAATTTATCAAAATTCCTAATATTTTATACAATTATATTTTGTATGTAAAATGTTATTCTGCATTTTAACTATAGCAGCTGTAGTTGTAAAAAATACAACTGTAGTAGCTATAGTTGTAAAAATACAAATTAGTAAATATGTAGAAATATGTATACTCTAGAACAACAGTATTTGAGTAAATGTACTTGTTACATTCAGTCACTGAATATTTTAACTTGAATGGTCATTGTAAGACACAAAAAAAGAAAATGTATTGTTATAAGAGACTTTATACCATTAGTGCTTTTGAGAAATGATGACCAGTCTGTTGAGTTTAACCGAAACGTGGTAATTCACACATAACAAACACTACCTTTTAATAAGTTTTCAGGTTTTTTGAGGGCTCTTGTTGTGACAAGCAAGTGGGGATAGACATTTTTAGCAAGAGAGAGGGAAGGAAGAAAAAGTACTTGGAAAAACATCTATGCTAATAAAGGATTTTGAATCTGTAGCAATATTATATCACCCTGCACAGCCACCTGCAAATCTCATGTTTTACCAGAGGGGGGCGACAGTCCTTCAGGCGTCACAGCATCCACCAGTGAGTTGACATTTATCTAGTTTTGGCAGGTGGTGGAGTGTAACAAGTACATTGACTTAAGTACTGTACTTGTAATTTTAAGATACTCTATAATATTATATGACTTAAAATTTCTACTCCATATGAGAGTAGAATATTATACTTTGGATTCCACTACATTAATCTGACAGCTGTAGTTACTGGTAACTTTAAGACACTATGAAATACAAAATGCACAAAATTAATCAAAAATTTATTTATTTTTTTTTCACATTGTGTCTTGAGTGGGGTCAACATTATGTTAGTACAAAGTATTTTGTTGAGGAGCACTTTTTGCAGATTATTTGTGCTCCTGTAAATAGTAGTCCAGTAGGCCTACTATTCAGAAGGTTCTGCAGTTTGTTGGGATACTTTCAAAGATAATTTTATGCATGATATCTCAGCTTCCCCAGCACTGATGATGAATAAATATAATCTGAGGCATTAACTGTGACGGTCACAGAGTGTAACAACATCCAGAAGTTGGACATCAACATCAGTTACCACTGGCGGCCATTCATCCATCAAGAGTTGGCATTCAAGTAAGTTGACTACTCAAGATGACTCATAGAGAGAGCTAAATAATAACTGCAGCCCACAGAGTTCAACTCTTATAAATTGGATGACTTATGAACTGATAATTGAAAATGTTTATTATTATCTAAAGTTTTTAAGAGGCAAGGTATTACCTAATGTTAGCATATGACAATTTATTTTCAGCTGTATTAAATTATTTGTGGTGGAGGAAGGGTCATATATTTTCCCTTGTGGGATACTTTGAGTCTAATATTTAGGGTGTTGTTCTTCCCACTATACATTCAGACAACACCACAAAATGGCAAACTTACTATATAGTGGGTAGTGAGTGAATCAGGACACAGCCTCAAGGAAAAGTATGCGTAGCTTTCATGGCAAAAAATCTGTAGCTTTTCGAGGAGGGTTAAGATAACCTCCTGAGACCCTGTGTCCTCATATGAGGACATCACATTTTGGGTTTACTTTACCTTACATTTCATTCTACTTAACTTAGACCTATTGTCCTCGTTTGTGAACACTTTTTTGTGCAATCTAGTAATAGTAGAAGCACAACACACAACTCCATATAAAAACAAGATGGCAGCCATCTTTGCCAAGTCAGTCTGCAGCCGGTCCAGATGCAAAAGTGGACAAGGTCCAAAATCTGATCAGTTTTTATGGTTGAAACGTGTTTATTTTACTGTTGACCTGTTTGGCGACATTAGAGCTTTATTATCATCTCATTTAAGGACACTGGGACTTAATTAGGCCTACTAAAGACAATGTTTCGTTTTTTATAGCCTACTTATTGGGTCCCACTGATTCCAATTTGCTAGGTATAATTAAAAATGCATACCAAACAATGGGTCTCAGGAGGATAAGAAATAAAAGTAAAAAAAAGTCCTACCCCAGCCACCCCCCTCCTCTGACAAGTAGAGTACAGTCCCTTATGTTTGACCTGTTAACAAGTGGCCACTTTGCAATAAACTCAGTTAGTGCCTTTTTTTTAAATTTTCTGCTGGCATTATAATTTTGTATCACATTTATATCATCAAAGAAGTTTCCTCAACACTGGTAATAAATTAAAATACTCCGAGGTTTCAGCTGTGATGGTCACAGAGTGTAACGACGTCCGCAGTTTGACACTATCGTCAGTTCCCACCGGCGGCCATTCATCGATCAACCGTTGGCATTGAAGTAAGTTGAATTATTAAAAATACGACCCATAGAGGGAGCTGAATAATAAATCCACTTAGTAAGAACCAAGCCCTTATATATTGGATGAGTTATGAACTGATAATTTTATATTAGCTACCATTTTAAAGGGTCGAGGTTTTAATTAGATGTTAACTTTAGCATCTGCTAACGTCTTAAAATGTACCAAGCTATCCTGAAGCTCCTCGTTAGCTAACGTAAAGTAACGAGCTAACTTTTGTAATTAGCTACTGGTGACTTTGTCCACGACTGACAGCTGCCCTGGAGAGTTAAGTTTTTAATGTTAGTATTTTCAATGTTCATTTGTTTAGGCTAACCTGAAGGACTATTTCGTCCATTTTAATAACCTTAATACGAGTGGACGAGTTAGCTTACAGCAAGGTGTCTATAAAGAAGGTAAAGCCATAGGGCAGCACAGCCAGGAGAGGCTGCTGAGCAGAGCCATGATCTGTTTGGAGATCAATATCAAGGAAAATAAACGTATTTACCCCAAAAACTGTAAGTACACATCATGTAATTTGAGGTTTTTTTTAATCTGGTGAAGGGATTTTTCAGTCAAAGTTGAAACAACAAAGATATGATGGGTTAAAGTGTGGTTTGAAGTGACACCAAAGTCATGACCCTTCTTTCTTTTTAGTTTCCTTGGCCTACCAGACACACCAGTTAGTTGAAGTCAGTTAACATGGACTAGCTACACTCACCGGCCACTTTATTAGGTACACCTGATCAACTGCTTGTTAATGCAAATAGCTAATCAGGCAATCATGTGGCAGCAACTCAATGTATTCAGGCATGTAGACATGGCCAAGACAACCTGCTGAAGTTCAGACTGAGCATCAGAATGGAGAAGAAAGGTGATTTAAGTGAATTTGAACATGGTTGTTTGTGCCAGATGGGCTGGTCTGAGTATTTCAGAAACTGCTGATCTACTGGGATTTTCACACACAACCATCTCTAGGGTTTACAGAGGATGGTCCAAAAAAGAGAAAATATCCAGTGAGCATTTGATGCCAGAGGTCAGAGGAGAATGATCAGACTGGTTCAAGATGATAGAAAGGCAACAGTAACTCAAATAATCACTCGCTACAACCAAGGTCTGCAGAAGACCATCTCTGAACCAACAACACGTAGAACCTTGAAGCAGATGGGCTACAGCAGCAGAAGACCACACCAGGTGCCACTTCTGTCAGCTAACAACAGGAAACTGAGGCTACAATTTGCACAAGCTCGCCAAAATTTGACAATAGAAGACTGGAAAATTGTTGCCTGGTCTGATGAGTCTCGATTTCTGCTGCAAAATTCAGATGGTGGGGTCAGAATTTGGCACTATATCTCAATCCAATAGACCACCTTTAGGATGAGGTGGAACAGGAGATTTGTGTCATGTCAATATGGACCCAAATCTCTGAGGAATGTTTCCAGCACCTTGTTGTATCTATGACACAAAGAAAAAAGGCAGTTCTGAAGGCAAAAGGGGGTCCAACCCAGTACTAGTAAGGTGTACCTAATAAAGTGGCCATTGAGTGTATATAGCCTGTTCTGGTGTAAATGTAAGTCATATTTTTTTCCCCTGATCTCCATCCTATCTAGAGTGAAGATGTCATCCTCTCCCCCAGCTTGTAAAACCCTCCATGTATCACCTCTGTCCAGAGAACACACCTGTGACCCTGTTGGGGTGATTCTGAGCCAAGGTGGATGTTTCACACACGAACATGGACAGATGTTGGGACCTGAGGTCAGTCTGATGGAGATGTCAGAAACTGATTATACACACCTTCAGCACCTTATGCAGGCACACATGGAGGCATACATTGCCCCTCCAGATTTGCCAGATGCCAGATCTCAGCTGGCTACAGTGATGGTTAAAGACACCACAGTGATTTCCCCCTGCATGTCCACTCAAGCTATTGACCTATCAGCTTCAACTGATGATCACTGTCTGGTGACGCCAGGAGAAAAGACTCCAGCTTCTTATGGAGAGGTCCCAGGTTTTGTGCTGGCCAGAGTCAAAGATGTAGACAGCCCGACTGTAGCACATGCCCACAGCAAGACATCTTCAGAGAAGCGATCCATATCGGCTGCTAGAGTTTGCTTGGAGAAAAGGTTTAACACCATGTGTGCTGACACACCAAGACAGCAAGATACTCATTCTGCAGTTCTCAGGAAGTAAGTGTCACTTATATAGTGTATTTCTATTTGTTAGTAAATATGGCCCCTGATTCTCATTTTATAGAATATGCAAAATCTTTCTGTTGCTGTGTTTCAGTTTTTTGACAATACTTCAGCAGTCTGCAGAGACTCAAGAGGCAGTCATACACCCTCAGCTGCAGACGTGGATGAGAACTGAGAGAGCAAATGTTGAGGTTTCCAGCCCATTTATAGGGAGTGTATTTAACCCAGTCACCAACATGTGTGAACAAGTATGGTGAAAAATAAATCAACATGCACTTTCTTACAGCTTTATAGGAGCCACAGGCAGAATTAATCCCTTTTCTTCCTGTTTTGACCTCAGGTTATTGGCCATATTCCTCACATGACTGAACCTAACAAGCATCAGGGTTTAATCATCCCCAAGAGTATCTCATTTAATTTCCATCCAGAGAGGGTTGTTGTAAAAGCTCACTACACAAGTGGCAGCAGTTCATCAGAGGAGCAGCAGCTGGTGAACATAGAAAGTAATAATCAATCATTTAAACCAAATCCTATTTCAGACGTTGTAGTTTTTGTGTTTGTGTCTTATACACTCTCATGGTTTTCATAGATGATGTGGTGACCCCCACGACCCCCAGGAAGCATGATAGCACCCACAGCTCTCAGCATATCCAGGCTGCTTCAGCTGCCCCAGATTCTGCTGGAGAATCAGGGAACAACACCAGGAAAAGAGCTCGACCTCATATGACGTTTATCCAACGGAGGGAGAGACACAACACTAAGGAGAGGGAACGCAGGTGAGCAGCCGGCTGAAGGCATCTCTGCCAACTCAATTTGTGGCATGGTCTTATGGAATACTCTATTAATGTTCTTAAACACAATTTGATGATTTCAGTCTGGGCCATAGTCACTTGGGATGTCATGTATAAAAACAAAAATTTTACGTTTAATTATTTATTTATTTTCCTGTTAAAGGTTTGTTTTTTTTGGGAGGTTTTCCTTATCCGCTGTGAGGGTCCAAAGGACAGAGGGATGTCGTATGCTGTAAAGCTCTCTGAGGAAAATTGTGATTTGTGATATTGGGCTTTATAAATGAAATTGAATTGAATTGAAAAATGAAACAAGTAAAGATCTACCAGGATTTTCATTAGATAAATGTTGCTGCTGATTGGGTAACACCTCTGACACACCCATCCAACGAGAGAAAACCGAGGGTGTGTTCTGAATTGCACGCTTTTTCTTTTTTCTTATAGTAGTTACTGTTATTTAGTTTGGCCAAAGAAAATTAGTGCAGCTAAAGTAATTTCTCAAACACAAATATCAAACATTTGCTGGTTCCAGGTTCTGAACTGAGAGAATTTCCAACTTTTCTTGGTCTCATATTATGATATATTGAATATTTTAGGGTTTTGGAGGCATTTGACAATGTCACCTTTTGCTCTAGGATACTATGATGTGCAGTTTTCTGATGTTTCGTAGACCAAACGAATAAATGATTTATCGAGAAATGAGTGTGCAGTTAAATGATAATGAAAATAATCATTTATTGAAGCCCTAGATTGATATAATAATGTCTTCTATAAGCCACTTGGGAACAGAGTTCAAGATCCACCGCCCGACCCAAAACTGCAAATCTTATAATAAACATGCACTGATCAAATAATTTGGTTAGACAGCACACTTAAAGTGGACATTTTGGGACATTTCATACATGTGAAACTAAGATATGTGTTAAAATTAAGGTATTTGGAAATGCTGGGGCATGACACTTTAGAAACTAAAGAACAGAGCTGCAGGCTAATACATTTTGAAAAACACTGATTATAAACGTTTGTATTGTCTTTGCACAGGAAGAGGATTCGTTCTTACTGTGATGAGCTGAACGCGCTGGTGCCATTCTGTGAGTCGAATACAGACAAAGTCACCACCCTGCAGTGGACCACCGTCTTCCTCAGATACATCAATAAAAAGTATGGAGACGACCTCAAAGAGGTGAGTTTACACTGAGTTAATACATTGATTGATGTAAAGTAGTTTGGCTGGATAATCCTGCAACTGTGAATTATTTGAGACTTCAATCATCTGAGACTTCAAACCTGGGGCTGGAAGATAAGAGTTAATTACGTTGCCTCCTGCTGCCTGAGTAATAAGTAGTGCAGCTGACTTTATATGACTTTTGTTATTCAGAGAGTTCATATCGAATTCATCTTACTTTTACAATATAAAATCATTTAAACTTCATTATTTTATACTTTATACTTTGATGGATTATCTAGTGTTGCAAAGAAATACATGGCAGCAAATGAAACAGTCTACCACATTATGCTGACTGTGTGCAACACCACCACCTCCTGGAGTCAAACAGAATGGCAGTCTGAAGGACAGACTGAAAATAACACAGCACTGCTCCTATCTGTCATTAACCACAATAATTTGCTATTCTCCCTGCAGGAGTTTCAGCAGGCATTCACTGATGGGAAAGGACACTTTCTTAAATCCAGCTCTTCTTCAGGCCACGACCCAATCCACGGGGAGATGGACGAGACACTGATCATTCCTCTCGCGGTAGAGCAATAACCCTCTCACTACTTACTTTGATCAGCCAGCCAGATATGTGAGTACATTTCTATTTAACATTTAACCTTGGGTTGTCCCAGGAGGTCTGGCTGTGGGTTAGGTCGATGTGTCATAACATTTTAATTGACAAAAAGTGTCCTTTCGAGAGGAGCTTTGCTTCCGTCTGACTACATTACAATGAATTATAAAGTTTCCAGCCTCAGACCACGTGATGCTCAAACATGGCTGTGTTTTATCAACTGCAGAGTCATACACAGGTGGTGCTGTTTCCCTTTGAAAACAGCTGGTATGGTGCTCCATGCTATCATACAATTAGCATATTTTAATTACATGTGCTCCTTTTATATGATTCAAATTTAATTTTCATTGAATGTTAAAAATTCTCCACTTTTTTAAGCAGTGTTCAGTTTTTGTGTACACATGAGTGTTTTGCATGAAAATAAGTGTTGCTACTTTTTGGATTATTGGGATTACTTCACTCCCATGGTGTTACGCATGTATTAGAGGTACAGACCTGTTGGTTTGATATGTAGAGAGGAGTAATGTTTTACTGAAAAGTGGCTTTATTTGTTCTTTCTTACAACATGTCGCTGTAGCATCTTACTGTACATACAACAGTCACCCACAAATAATAAATAGTATTTAAGGTCATGTATATTTAATAGTTACAGCACCGGTAGTACATAGTGGATGTAGTCATTGTAGATTAAAAAGAAAAAAAATTTACTTCGCTCCCAAGATTCTTAGATTTATTTTACAATGTCTGTTTTATGCATCCACAAGTTTTATTTTCTTTTATTCTCAAATCTAGAGAATCAACTTCACATGTAATAAAAAACAAAAACAAAGAAGCTGTAAAAAAAAAAAAACCTATCAAAAGTTTTAAATTTTTTGCATTAATCTACACAATTTCTGGGCACCTGGGTATTTGTGTTTTTTATTCCTTTTACAGCACATACACAGCTCCTCTGTCACCTATCTCCATATTTTACACTGTAAGCTTGTATGTTGAGGTAACATCTGTGATTTACATCAGTGGGCCACGATACATGCACATTCACTTCAGACACACTCACTGTTGATTCAAGAGCGTTGTCTGCCAGAAGGATGTTAACCAGGGAAATGGGGGCATGGAAACAACATGTACAAAGTTTTTATACACAAAAGACTCATCATTCATTTTCCAGTTGTTTGTAAGTCAAGTCTTGTTATCTGATACTGTAGTATTTTTGGAGCAATGCGGTTGTTCTCTCGGACACTTCGGTGCCTCTGTCCACTTTTATTTCTGGATGTTATCTTGAAGTTTCTGTCTCTCAGTTGCTCTGGTATTCATGTCACTCCTCGGGTGTTCCTCTCACAATATCACACCTGTTTGATGTTACTCTTCCCATCTGGTGATACATGTATTTAAATAAAGAGGACATTTTGTGATCACTCTTCTTTCATTCCTTCCTTCCCTCACTTATCACCCTTCCTCCTCGGGGTGGATGGTATCAGCTTGCGGGAAGTCATGTTTAATGGTTTTTGGGGTTGGTGGACTTTCCAGCGGCCGCTGCTCCCTGGCAGGCTGATGTGTCACAGATTCCAGGAGGTCCCTGGTGCCCAGTCCTACCTACCCTGCCTGACTCTCCAGGCTCACCTGGATCTCCTGGAGATCCATCGCGCCCATCTTTGACAATTCCAGGAACTCCAGGAAGACCTGTGGATAGCATACAGGGAATGAGCCAGAGACAAAGTACTGCTGTTCTTATAACAGAATTTCATGTTAACAGTAGAAAATATTTCCTACTGTGAAGTTGCACAATGAATCTATCAGTTTTGTATCAAATATAACTTGCTGTGGGACAGTCAGATAATGTTATGGTAATTTGATATTAATGACGATAGTACATATGATACCACAGTAGACTTTTCTCATGTTCATATCGTCACATTTTGACTTGCCATAGCTGGAAAAGCACATTTGTAACTACAGTGAAAACCACACACAGTGATCACATTACATTATTTGCTTATAGTAATCTAAATGGTCAACTTTATATTCATGTCATTATTATACAAATATCATTTAGGTAGTGATCTGCATGAGAAACGGGGAAAAAGAAAAAAAATGGTTTTAACAATCAGCTGCTTACAGTATAGAGTTAAATTTGACCCGGACAGACGTGATCACTGTAAAAGGTTTCCACTGCATTTACATTAATGATGGCTCCATTCCAAATGTGCCAGTAAACCATTCAAGTATGTGTGCACTGGCATACCTGAATGGAATCCAGCTAATATTAATCTTATCAAAATGTCTGCCATGAGTGAAGTCTATATGTACAATATAGTAATTTTAAAACTGGTAGTAAATAACTCTTTAGCTTCTATCCTCTAACTAGGGTGTTCTGCATAAGGCCGCATACCTTGGTATCCTTGGTCTCCAATGGGCCCATCAATAGCTTTGCCAAGGGATCCCTTGTCACCTTGTTCACCAACATCACCTGTTGTAAAGACAGAACATTTAAATCAATGGTGGAAAGGAATTAAGTCTACTTACTCAGGTATTTAAGTTCACTTGAGTATGATTTCCTTTCTAAACGTATCAGATGATTTCATTACAAACCCCCCCCCCCCCCCCCCCCCCCCCAAAAAAAAAAAAAAAAAAAAAAATCATATCATGACTACCTGTACACTAGGTTGAGAACCACTGGACAGAACTAACTGTGTTTATGTTAGATACTTTAAACTAGCAATGTACTGCTTACATTGCTAGTTTAAAATGTCAGTCACGGGCCAGTTTTGGTTGGTGGTTCGGTCTGACTACCATCTCAGGGTTATCGGTATTTCCGGACTTTGGAATGAGACTCAACAATCAACTAAGTAATGGAGTACTACTTCCAGCACAGGTTTTGATAATTACATGATGTCATTGTACAACTGACAAGGCACTGATCAACATATTTTTGTGCTCCTGCTGATAGATCAGAACAGACTGATTGTAATTTTCATACCTCTGGGACCGGGGTCTCCGAGTTCTCCTGGCAGGCCTCTGTACCCTGGTGGTCCACGGGGACCTGGATGCCCAATAGAGCCAGCAACTCCCGGCTTTCCTGAAGGCCCAGGAGGGCCAGGGCGGCCCACCATTCCAGGGGCCAGGGGTCTTCGTAGGTTAGCAGCCAGCTGTGCGATCTGATCTGCGTGATAGAAAACATCAGGAGGTCAGTTATCCAGCTTACCCTTTATTCAACGCTGAAGGGAATTACAGACGAAGATTAAGATTTCTCACCATTGATCATCGAGCCACACAGCTCTCTGATGTGCTGCTCACTCGCCAGTTTACCCTAAAACACAAGTGAAGAAGACATTTTTTAAGTGTGAGCTCGTTCAGGCAGTTTATTGAAAAATGAATATGCTTTTTACAGACTTAAAATAACACTCACAGGTACACCTGTCTTTCCCGCAATTCCAGGCAGACCCTGCTCCCCTTGGAAGCCCATTAGTCCTGGTTTTCCTGGAGGCCCTCTTGCCCCAAGCTCTCCTTGTGGACCTGTCACGCCCTTTGGTCCCAGTTCACCTCGCTTTCCAGACTACACTCAACAAGAGATATTCATTACGTAAGTCGTTATATTTTGCTAAAATGAAGAAATCAATTTCTTCCAAACTGGAGCTAAAAGCATCCATAAGCCTCTGATTTGAGCATTGACTAAACACCAACCAAGGAGCAAACTGGGTCTGTGGAGACAGTGCGGGGGCGGATTCATCTGGCGTCTTGTTGCTTGATAATTACTCCAACGAGCATGGCAAACAGTAAATGAGACTACGGGAGCAAGGCTCATCAGTACTGTCTCTAATTACATAAATTGTGCTGCGGCTTAATGCAACTCGTCTCTCCCTTGTGGCGGTGGCAGTGAACAGGCCAATAAAGCTAAAGCAGCAATACCTACCTCTAATTAATCCTATTAAACCTGGAATGTGAAGCAGAATCATGTGCAATGACTCTGACAAGTGGGCAACAGCTCGGAGCTAGGCTCCATTTTTAATGTTTACTGAGGGAGCAGACACAGAGGGAGTCTGGAAACCAACGTGTGCTGCTAATTACACCCACACACAACATCTGATCTGGCTATATTTTGTGTTAATAGAAGGACATCTACCGTGTCTAGAAAACTGGTTCGAAGGGAGTGAGTCCATTTAGAGATGTGAAACGTGTACATGCACTAAATATTCTGGTTTTTCCTCTTAAAAAAAGACAAAATTCATGTTTTGTGATGATGTCAAAGCTATTTGTGTTAACATGCAGCCGTGCATACTTCTATTAACATCATTTCTCACATCAAAACAAGTTTTCTTGTTCTACCATGGGAACACAGCATCCCTCTTTTATTCCTTCAACCACCTTATTGAGAAGGTCGCCATTGCAATATTTGCACCTGCTGATATCCATGTCTTTCATAATGTTTAAAGGAGGTTTCTCGTTCCAACCAGAAATGTGGGCTTTTCTTTTAGCGATACATCTCTACCCCACAGCCTTGCAAACTGTTTGTGAGTTGGTTTGAGTACAACGCACAGAGCTGACCGTAAACAGGCAAGGGGTCGTGTGTCATAAACTGCAGTAAAACCTAATTTTAAACGCATATTCTGAATGTGCTGAATACATGTCCGAAGAATGCTCTTAAAACATGACAAATACCGGCATATCCCACATGACTTTATCACAAAATACTAAAATTGGAATAAGGCTTTATTAGGAATTCGGATTATTACATATTCTGAATAATAGCAGGATATTAGTGTGCATGTAAACATCGTCACTGCAAAAGTATCAGAGGGCACACAAGTGACAAAATATGAACGAAAACATTGACAAAGCTCACCTCTCCTTTTTGTCCAACTGGGCCGAAAGGACCCTGAAACCAAGGGCACATGTTTAGTTAAAAGTGATTTGACATTACAGAATATTACACACTTAATCACTCTAAATGTATTTGTAAAGAACCTTTCATAAAGGTTTTCCTCAATCTGAAGATTTAAAGATAAAAGACATATATAAAGCCAATAAAGGAGACGAGACATTATAACATAGATACAATGACTAGTTTAAAGAACGGC